AGTGAAAGAAACTAAAAGTCTAGAATTGCTTAATCACTTTAGGATGTATTAATTATTCTTCAGGTACTGGTAACCTTTCTCTGTCCTTTCTAGCCACACCACAAAAAGAGGTAGATTAGTAGAAAATTACCTTACTTTCACATTCTGTTGAATATAGGAGAGATTCTTACTTTGAGGGGACATCAGACAGTCATTGTATATGTGTGTTTCCACACGCTAGAGATCTGATTCATCCTGTGTTTCAGTCACCACTAGGAAAAAGCTGATAGATTTTAATGCAATGAAGGCAAGCCTCTTTTTAGCTATAACTTAGCTACACAGCTGCTCAGTTAAACTTACTAAAGCAATTAGTATAGCCCAAAGCCCCATAATTTCACAGGAAAAGGGTGATTGTTGGGGTTCTTTGTATGTTAGATATCTGCTCAGGTCATTGCACGTAGTTATAAGAATACATGCCTGTGCATTACTTGCACAGTTTTTCACTGTCTCTGGATATGTGATTTCTTCTGTATCCATCTCTGAAATTCAATCTGTAACACAGTAATATAATTTAGGCAAAATTCTTTTAACAATCGTGCATATATTTGGCTATTTATATATACACGTGTATATGTATGGTTTATTATTAATGCAGTGCTATGGAATTCTCCATATCTGCACTTGTTTCACGGGCTGCTGACTCCTGACTGACTTCTTTAGTACATTTTAATAGACATAATATGAAGCACTTCCTAGCGCAATTTTTCTTCACAGAGATATTATCAGAGTTTCACTGAGAGGACGGTGGAGTTCAGAATCTGGTGTTAGTAGCTGATACTAAGCTAGTATGTTTTCTGAAAGCTTACAATAAAATAAAATTTCTGGGAGAAGTATCCCAAAATGCCCAGGGATGGGTGTGCAATACAGAAATGGTGTAATCTCTCCTGTTAATCTCATGAAATAATGGAACTGAGTTTTCCCCCAGCTGGAAATTGACTTGGTTCCACAGAAGACAGTCTCATCATTGAATTCATGAAGAACGAGACCGGACTCTAAATGAGGAAAACGTATGCCTGTTTTCTCCTCATATGTCTCAATTCTTTTATTCCCATTTCTACACTTGTACACCAAACAAAAGCCTCTAACCTGTTTCACTGAAGAAGTAAGGTGGAACATTTATATTCAAACAAAATAAAGCCAGAAGGATGCAGGGGTAATGTCCACCTGGTCCATCCTCTTGCCCTACAAGAAATGTATTCTTTTAGATGTGGATAAAAAGAATTCTTCCTCACATTTAACCTTAACATTTCATGTATATCTTTTCCTATGGTTCTACATAGCAACAGCCATGTTCTACCCTATTAGATATAATGCAGGACAGCACTGAGCCCGCTTTGGAGTTTCTGAGTGTTTCTGGCTTCTCTAGTATAAAACAAACTAAAATCCATCTCACCACTTCCATGATTCATTCATCATAGTTGATCTCTTTGTTCTTCAGATTTTCCTTAAGAAAGATGAAAACCCTTACATTTCTTCAAAGTCAATGGTCTCTAAAACTGAACTATTTGTGGGAACAGTCAATTCAGCTTCCCCATGTAAAAATGTAGCTAGTTTTCATTATTAAAAAAAATTCCTAATTTTTTAAAAATCTTTTTATAGAATCTCATTGCAACTTATATATACACCTAGCGAAATGGTTCAAAACCCCTATGTAAATAGTTTTTGAAATTCACACAAGTTCGAGAAGCACAAGATCAAGCCTATGTAAAAATGAAATAATATCATTATTTTATGTAAAATTTAGAATTCCACAGAACCGATAGCGTATTAAATTCTATTGCAGTTTTCCATAAGAGCTTAGTGAACATAATTCTTATGTTTGCACGAACGATGACATACAATATTGTCCACCAGTACAAAACAGGGTATACAATGAATAAAACAAACATGAACTCAATTTTCATGTTTAATGTCTGATTCTTCCATAGATGTCAATGGCAAGACTAATTCATTTCATCAAGGCAGGAGCAAGACCTAAGTGGCCAGTAATGTGCCCTTCAGCTTCATGTTCAACCAGTTCTGTTCACTTAACACACTTTTCCATTGCCGTGACAATTTTAAAGCATTTATTCTGTAAATGAATAGTCAGCTTTCATGCAAACAGTCCATTAGCATTAATCATATTACTCTCACATGATACATTGACAAAAAAAGTGATTGCGATATTTCTCTTGTCCATGACAAATAAGTAGTTGGTAAGAAATGAAAAATAACAACTGAAAAGGAAGGCTATAACAATTGATCTCTTGACACTGTTTCATTTCTCTTCTGAAATATGAAAAGCCATATTCTATTTAGTGTAAATATGAAGGATGGCATTTCTGTTGATCAAAATATGAGTCTTTGCCTACTTTATCACTGATCCTGTTGCCTAAATTAACATTTGCATTTCCTTATATATTTCTCTTAGGAAAATTCTGAAGAATCCCAACTTACTAGAGTACAAAATGTGCAACCGCATAAAATAATTGAATGAACTGAGTCACTGGCATTTACTATTATAAACAGATCCTTTCTTGGTCTTATCTAAAGAATTCTAAGGTATTAAAACCTTACAGCTATCAAGACACGCACCTTCACTAGAGTTTGACTAAACACTGCTATGCAGCCACTGGAAATAACTTGCATTAAGGTTTCTGCCTAACAGGAAATTATGCTGAACCTGAACCAAAGCCCAGTGGATTCAGTATCAGTTTTTTCCATCAACTTTAATTGGCACTGGATCAAGCCCTTTGCACACAATCTCCCATTTCTTCAACATTAAAACAATGCTTATGACTGTCAAACAACATTTTTCCCTTCAGTATCTATTCAAAAGGAGATTTTGCAAACCATCCCAGGACTCTGCAAAATGAAAATCAGACTTGGATTTGTGTGTCAAATAATAATCTTCAGAAGCTTGTTATATTGCAGATGGAGATTTTAGCTGCCATGTTGTCCTTCTAAAAATAACATGCAGTTTTCCAGTGAGCATGCAGTCAACTAGCTATATCAGTGTGCATTTATATGGCAAAGAATCATTTGAGAAATCCATCTTTATAGGTTTCTAGAATCAAATTGGGAAAACTGATCATTTTATACATAAGGAAAATATTTTAAAAATCTTTAAAAACATGACACATCTCAAAGTCTTTTTATGTTTCACAGTGGAAGAAAAAAAGACCACAGATGAAAGTGATAATGAATACACTGTCTAAGAATTAATTCACATTTTTTTAAGTGACAATGCTGGCAAACCACAAGAATGAAACGTTAAGGTATTTACTGTAAGCCAAGAGGAAAAGATTTATATGCATTATCTCCAAGCCAAAGTACAATAAAATCCATTTTTAGGCTTGAAATAAAATACAATCAAAAGACCATTTGTGACCCTGAGCCCCTGTCTCCTTCTTATGTTATAAACTGTCCCAAAATTTTCCAGCACCGTTTTGGCCCTTTTCTTTAAAGGACAGATAATGTTTAGTTAGGAATGCACTTGTATCTTTTTTTAGTCCTGATCCAACTCCTACTGTTGCCAGTGGGATATTTTCTGTTGAATTCAGTGGGAATTAAATAAGGTCCTTAAGAAAAACTTAGTATCCTATATTAAAATGGTTGCTGTTAACAGAGATTTATTTGTGACTGCCCCAGTGGCTTACCAGTAAGTTACTGGGACATGAACTGTGTATTTCTTGAACCAGCTGTAAGGCAGAAAAGCTGAGGTTAGTATTTGGATTCCCTGATGAAAAGCTGCAATTGTTTCATTTAAAGGTAAATGTACTCTGGCTATTCCCAGACTGACCTTGGCAGCCAACTGTGTTGCCCTTAGTGTCAGCAGAAAGGCGGCTGTTGGTGTCAGTGGGCTTTGGATCAGGCTTTAAAGACAGAGAAAGCTTGCTTAAGGAGGAAAAGAGACGTAACAAATAGTCTTGATTTCCCAGGTTTTGTCACTTAGAGTTTAGAATATCAACAAGACACTTTAAACCCCGAAAAATAATTGCTGTAAGTCAATTATTTTGACCCTGTATGTTTCTACAATTGTATACAATAATAAAGAAGAACAAATCTCTCTGGCTTACAAAAAAAGGCAAGTACTTTATTTATCAATAGAGATTTTAGCTGCTTTTTACACCATTGCAATGACTAAACAAATAGCATAAAATAAACAAAGGAGAGTATAAAATCACTTTATTCCAGCTGGTATCCCAAGACAACCTTTTGACTAAGTACAGAGTTAGATGTTTCAAGTATGGCACTTATATAAATAAGAGCAGAGAGAAGGTGATATATTCACAGTTAAAAGCAATGAACTCTGTTCCTTTGGTATGTGTGTCATCATAGGTAATTGTAGGTAAATACGCAACTTGGCTGGCATGAACCAACTCCATCTTATTCATGCACATATTAGGGAATGAACTGAAATGTACTGATATATTTTGCAGATCACAACTAATATAAGATGATTAAGGTCTCTGGTGTGTGTGTGTGTGTGTGTGGACAGGCAAACAAAAAAATGGCAAAATTATATTCAGCATTTATTGTTCAGCATAACTAATTGATGCACAAACTATGATAGAAAATAGCTAGTAATACACACCAGGAATAAACTCTGTGATTCAGCCAAGGAAAATAATATGACATCTGTGAGATAGGTGAAAGCAGATATCCTCATTGAGTTGTGGTCAGGTTCCTTACAGTGCAATTACCCTCCTTTTAAAACATGCTTACATCTGCACATTGCAACAGTTTCCCCCACCCCATCCCACCCCATATAGAGTATCCTTGCAGATTTTTAATATGAACATTCTACACGTTTACAACAATTAGTCAGACAGTCCAAACTGTAAACTTATCCTAATGACGACCAAAAAGCCGCTCCACCGACAGGTAACACCCAATCATTAGAAAGAAAAGTACGAATAATAGTAGCGGTGCTGTAAGGCTAGATCAAGCATGGTTTTATAGCTGGTTTTTCAGTCTTTTACATAGCACTGCATTTTGCAGCTAGTTCAGTTAAGTGCAGATCCAATACCTTAATGGCTGTCTTGGTGGTTTGATAAAATGCTTGCCTAAGCAATGTACCTTTCTCTAATGGTGTCTGGGTCTGCTCCACCTGGCACAGTGTTTCAGTTCTGTCACAGCCTCACACATAAGCTGAGTCACTTGACTGAGTCCTGCCAAAGTTAGGCATGCTCATCCTTGGCAGGTCCTTATTTCTGATTTCGTATATGGATTTCCTTTTTGCCTGTACTCCTCTCACTGCCATTTTGATCTTTCTCCAGCCCAAGTGGTTCAGTTCTGCCAAATTGAGCACCACACAAATCCCACTGACAGCAAACATGAATACCAAGAATACAGTCTTCTCAGTGGGTCTAGAGACATAGCACTCTACTTCTTTAATGCAAGGGTATCTGTCACATTCGTACATGGAAGGGACATTGAATCCATACAGAAAATACTGTCCCACTAAGAATCCAATCTCTAGGGCATTTCGAAAGACCACTTGGATGATATAAAATCGAGAAATGCCTTCTTGCCTCCTCATCTTTGACTTTGTAGTTCTGATAGCAGGATTGGGGATTTCCTTCACTTCTAAGCAGTCAGGTTCTGCCTCTTTGGTGGAGTTCTCAGTGTTCTGCAGCACCCCATTGACAATCGTGTTCTTGATTTTCTTACTGTCCTCACGCTTCATTGAATCCTGGTCCCTCTCCAAGGTGAGGAAGACAGTGGAGTACCTCCGTTCCCTCTGCTTAGCAGACTGGTGAACGGAGTACGTTATGAAGCAAAGGCTGGGAGTGCACACCATGATGATCTGGAACACCCAGTACCTTATATGAGAAATAGGGAAAGCCTGGTCGTAACAAGCCTGGTTGCAGCCTGGCTGCAGCGTGTTACAGACAAACATAGTTTGCTCGTCATCGTACACCGTCTCCCCTACAATGGCCACAATGAGTATCCTGAAGATCACCACCACGGTCAGCAGGATCCTGGAACAGAGAAGCCCGTCAGTGCGCGCCGCAGCCCCGCGGCCGGGAGCTGTCCAGTGCTGACGTGCTGACGGGGCCCCCGGGCCGCGGCGCCCCC